AGTGTTAGAAGTTTCATACTTCTATGTGATCTGGAAGCATATTAAAATTAAATTTAAAATGTTGAAAGGCAATTTGGTAATTTGTCCGTTCCTGGCCATTCTGACAACCCCGAAGTCTGAATATTCATTAACTTGCATTGTCATCAGGTTCTAATAAGTGTACAAAATATCATATTGCTACGTGCTCTAGAAGTATACTAAAAATCGATTATAAAAATTCTGGACAGACAGACATGGAAGCAAGTTAAATAAAAGCTCAAAAAACATTTTATTGGCCAGTTATGGCGAATATATATTTATTTATAGCCTTATACGAAAAATTTGCCTCAGCCTGATATAATATTAGATAAAATAAAAAAATCACATATCTTCAACCTATGCCATCATTTATTGTCCAAAGGTGCAATTTCATTCAAAGAAAATAAAGATGTCACATCTCTTACTAATAGGCTTAGGAATTTATCAGATGTCGCCAGGTTGATTGTATCTGGGAATGTTCTACAGGTCTACAGGGGTAAATATGCTTATTCCTAGCAAGTGGCTGTTTGGAACCTTTGAAGGAGGTAGGTGAGACATCTGAAGTCGGCAGTTTGGTCTTCCTGGTGGCAATGTGACAGGGAGAGTCGTCTTTTAAACAATATTAAGTTTACATTTGTAGGGCAATATAAATAAAGCTTCGGAATGATAGTCTACTAAATTTTACATCACGTGAGCCTCTGGGTTGTTACGATGACTTGCTTTGTTTACAAAGTTGTTCATAGTGAGCGTGTAATGAAAGGACATTTTTGCCTCAATCCCTTTACATAGCCCCAAACAATATATTTAGGTTTCTATCAATATTAATGTACTCTCAAAACTTTCTCAATATAAAATATCTTTTATATGTAGTCATATAATGTATTTTTTTTTACAATAAAAGACAATTCCTAACTGCCCACCATGACTCAGAATATGTAGAATAAAAACACAATGTGAACGATTTTTCTTAATATTATTATTTTATACAACAACCTGCGTCTTTTTATATTTCTTTGTTATACTCAGAT